AACTCTGGGCATCTTCGCGTTTGATGATCTTTGTAACTCGGGTTTTAAAAAGGAAGAAAAAGTGGAGGGGTGGAAAGGCGACTTAACGGGCTGTACGGACAGGGCTGGCGGTGCCCCCTCCCGCTGCCCTCCCCGGGAGTGAATAATTCCCGAGGCGGCAGGAGAGGAGCGGCCCTGGCTACGTCCCGATCGCCGGTTCCCGGCGGGACGTGCGGGGCCAGGCGGTAGCGAGCCGAGCCTAACCGGGCCGGACCGTACCGGGCTGGGCCGTCAGCCCCGGCCCTGCCGAACACCTGTTTAATGCGCCGCCGGGGAGCGCGGAGCGGCGGGCTTGGCGGTGTTGGTAGGCTCCAGCCCGGGGCTCACCCCCGACGGATTTTATTTTATTTGGGTTTATTGAACAATCTCCTCAGGCGGGAGAGAAGAACCGGGAGCGGGAGGGAGGGGGAGCGGCGGGCGAGTGTGAGCCCGCCTGGCCGCCCGCGGGGGGCGTGAGGGGCCGGAGGGGCCGTGAGGGGCCGGGGCCCGGGCCCGGGGCGCGCCCGCCGCCCGCGCTGCCCGGCGGAGCGCGGCTTCCCCCGGACCGGATTTCGTTCGGATTTCGCCAACTCGGGAGCGGGGCCGGGAATGCGATCCGGGGGCGAAGCGGCAGCAAACCCATGGGTAGGCTGTGGGTTGTTTTTTTTTTTTTCTTCTTTCTCTTGTTTTCCTCTTCCCAAACCCCCGGTGCTTCCTCCCTCCGGCAACCGCCGCCGCGGGAGCGCCCTCCAGGCCCGGGGGATTTTCCCCGCATTTTTTTCTTTAAAAAAAAAAAAAAAAAAAAAAAAAAAAGAAGAAAATAAGGAATGTGTTTGGTTTATTTTTTTTTTAAGAAGTTTACAGCCAAACAGAAGCGGGGCGCAGTCCAGGGCCGGGACTGGGACTGGGGCCACTCCACCCGGCCCCGCCGCCGCNTTTTTTTTTTTAAGAAGTTTACAGCCAAACAGAAGCGGGGCGCAGTCCAGGGCCGGGACTGGGACTGGGGCCACTCCACCCGGCCCCGCCGCCGCCTCCTCCGCTCACCGCGCTCCTAATTTTTTTCCTTTCCCCCTTAAACCGGTTTCCACGGCAGCTGTCCGGGTGTGCGGCTGCAGTTGGCATATTTCACGCGTTAGAAAAAAAATTAACTGTTTTTCCTTTGTATCTTAATCCAGTGATGAGAGCTCTCCTTTGTTGGCTTTCGAGCTTGCATTTGTTTTATTTATTATAAGGAAATCCAGTTTGGTTCAAATATATAATCCATTTGAGCACTTAAATCCCCAAACAGCTGGCATTATTTTGTTTTATAATCTTTGGCTTTTCTGCGCAGAACATATTTCTAAATTCCTACTTGACATTTATGGGGAAAAACTTTTTAATGTAAATGGATATTGTGATATTTTTTGCCTGGGTATTTCCTAATTTACATGCATCATCAATTTTCCTGGATTTCTAATGTTTTAATCTTTTTTCCTCCCCTGTATCTTGTTAATTAATTTTTTTTTCCCCAAGAAAACTTTTTTTTTTTTCCTGGAGGGAGAAAGACGTTAATTTGCCCCATTACTTTAATCTCTGGCATTTGGAAATGGTTGAGAGACCACAAAAATGCAACCTGTTGTAGAAACCAGAATGGTGTGTTTTATTTATTTTAATCGATAGCAGAAAGGTGATTTAGTAATAGGAACTCTGAGTAACATTTAGTAAAAGATTTGCAGATCTGGTGGCTGTGTATGGGGTGTGCATGTGCGTGCATATGAGCGCGTTTCTTTGCAGGCTGATTAGCAAGTGGGTTTTACACTTATAACCAGTGGTCACTGCTGTTTTCTTCACTTGGTGAGTTTTTGTGATGCCTGATAAATGCAGCTCTGTCATGGCTTCTCCTACTTTCATCAGACTTTCCTTTTAACTTATGCAGCACCATGCTACAACCTTTGTAAGCAGAGGATTCAAAACTAAACCAGAGAGAACTGATTACTACTTGTTTCTTGGTGAGAGATTTTTTTTTTATGCTTCGGAGCTAAACGCTCTTGATACAATTTGCCTTGGTCGTGGAGTGTTTTGCCTCGTTAATAAGAACATACACGATTACACAGGTAATTTGTGTACACCTTTAACAGGGTTGCTCTAAAAGCCAGTAAGTATGCATATAGGTAGCCATAAAAAAATACTAAAAAAACAGAGTTAGTTTTCAGTATGTCCATCTAACCTTCATACTTGGTAGACAGTTTATACAGCTTCCTAGATTGATCTCCACCCTCCCTCCCTCTACTCCTTGTTTAGTTAATTCCACAAAGACTTTTTGCAATCTGTTTGGAGTTTGTCTGATGCCGTGGAAAAGTAGCTGCTGATTTATTTGGTTGCTTTTCGATTTCTGTCTCTAGCCCGTCTTTTCTCCTCCTTTCAGCGGGGATGTCAGCTGTTATTACTTCCTATTGATCCCTTTGCAAAGTGAGAAGTGAACTAAAATTAATGTCAATTCCACTGCTCAGATCAATAGCTGGAGTTATTTTAATCTGGATTTGCGTGAGGTGCTAAATTAAAAAAAATCAGCATAGAGGCAGAAAAGTAGCAGCTCCTCACTCCACCTGTGCCCACTGCCTTCCCAGCACCCAAGTGTTCCCTCCAGCTGATTACCTTACAATCCATATTTTTTTAATTAAGAAGGTCAGTTAGTTTTCTTATTTTTGGGTTCTGTATTTAAACCTATGACATTTTGACATTGGGAGTGTATTAACGATAGATTTTCATAATGACTGGTCCGCCGCAGCCTAATCTGTCCATATTGCTGGGGGGTGGGGAGGTGCTGGGCAAGAAGGGAGCAAGAGAGAACGAAAAAGGAAGTGGGAGCTGAAAAAAATTAAATTTGGCTGGCTGAGATATTGTAATGTGTTGATTTATTCCTGGTGTAATGAAGTTTGCAAACGAATAAATGGCCATAGTGATTCACAGTATCCTACAGGAGTGTCAAGTGTTGCGGCCAGATTACTAATTTATGAAATACATTTAACGTAATGGTGTGAAAGCAAAAGTAAAAATAGAAAAGCACGCAGAGGTGGTTGCCTTCTTTCTTTTTTTCCCCTGTAAATCTGTGTTTTTCTGTGATTGCTCAGTTTTGTTTCCATGTGCATGATAGTTTATTTCTGAGAGCAGTGGCTTATTTGCATGCATCTCTTTGAATATATAATTGTGTGTATATATATATATATGTATATGTATAATGTATTTATTTGCATGGCTATACAAGCCCCCAAAAACTCCTGATTTGCCAGTGGCTGCAGTTTTCTGACCTCCAGATTTTGATCAGCGTCATGTGAAGCAGCAGAGCAAGTGTACCCAGGACTGCAGTGCTGACCAGGCTGCCCTTGGCATCCCTCACTCTTCCTCTCCCCCTCACTGTCTGTGGCAAGAACTCAACGAGAAAGTTATTTAAAATTTGGAAGAGAGCAAATCCGTTAATGCGAGATACATAATCTGGTAATTTAGCAATGATGTCTGTAAGGATGAGTGCCAAATGAGGAAGCAGAGAGATGATGTCCACTCATCTTCACAATTCATAACAGTCAGTGGAGCGGCTGGGTACAGGATGGGAGAGAGGAAATGCTATCACTGAACTGCATTAAAGCCCCAGACTGGATTTCATACACTTTGTTAACCTAGGCTCCCTCATTCATGGAGTACAAAAGGCACTCCATTAGGGAGACACTCTTTCACTAAGTTTTATTTGAGATGTTTGACCCTCTGGATTTAAGAGGCACAATTTGTAACAGCTTTTTATTATTATATGATTTTTCTGGCCCTTTGAGCTCCAGCGGCTAGTATATTGTTTCAAAGTTATAGTCCTTGTATTTTAAGCTGGGTTGTGGGGCCTGAATGGCAGGCGGCGGAAGCTTAAAAGAAAAGGCATGAGATTGATTGGGGGAGAAAATAACACAAAAAGGCACTGCGAACTGGGGGAGATAGAGAGAGAAGGATTTTCCCTTCTTTCACCCTGGGAGGGGGTTGTGGCTGAGTGGGTGGTTGCAGCCAACCTGGGAGGCTCAGCAAGATGCAAGGCAGAAATTTTGTTAACATTTTCTTCTAAATGTTAATGGCACATCCAGGGCAGTTTACAAATCTACTTAAGAGTGAGTGCATTAGGAACTAAAATTACTGATCCATCCTCTCTTGTCCCCGATCCGAAAGGCAGATGCTTGCAGAGATCAGATGGCAGAAGCACCCATTATGATTTTAAATATTGTCAGAGACGCCAGGCATTTTACTGGGGAAGTCTCTTCTCCTTTGACTCACGGGGACCGTGTGTGCACACGTGGGTGTTTGTGTGTTACACACACACACACACACACACACCCAGACACAGCCACGTTCCTACATTCCAGTGGTGTGTATACGTATGTACGATGGTATTGAGTACTGTGTGTGTAAGTATACATCTACCCATATGTACTGTGAGAGTGAGAGGAAATACCTGTCGGTTACGTACATCTCGGGTGTCGTGCACAGTTAAAACCATGTGTGCTGTCTGATTTGGGTAGCTGTGTACAATGGATATTTTTATGTTGGTTCTACACCCCCAACCCTCAAGCAAATTGCAGGGTGTGTGTATGTGGGGGCTTTCTTAAGTTTATGGCAGAGATATATATATACACGTGCCACTTGTCATATAAAATTCCACTTACAATTTGGAGTTACTACGTTAATTTTAGACTGAACATTTTTTATTAGTGCATTATTAAATCTGCATGTTATGATGTTTGGTTTGCCTTTCATCTCTCTGCAGTGGATGATACCCTTTCACCTGGAGAGCCAGGGCTGATTCCACTAGCGTGTGAAGTTGTCTATTGATTTTCTTGAATGAGAACAGTGGTGCATCTCCAGCCGGTGGCTTGTAACACATGTGGCCACTCTGCTGCTGGAGCATCCCAGAGAAATGAGTGCAGAAACCTAATTGGCTGTGTTTTCTTTCCCTTTCTGTTTCCTTGCAGTGTTCGACGGGTGATGATGCTCCAGTAATTTTCCCCGCTCCATTCCTAGGCATCGCTTTGCTTTCCTTCTGAGGAACATCGTTCTGCTTGTGATCCTGCTGAGGAAAGACACTCCGATGGACTTACACCGGGCAGCATTCAAGATGGAGAACTCACCCTATCTCCCCAACCCACTGGCCTCCCCAGCACTGATGGTTCTTGCCTCCACTGCCGAAGCCAGCCGTGATGCTTCCATTCCCTGCCAGCAGCCAAGGCCTTTTGGGGTCCCTGTGTCAGCAGATAAGGACGTGCACATTCCCTTTACCAATGGCTCATATACTTTTGCCTCCATGTATCACCGCCAAGGTGGGGTGCCGGGAGCATTTGCAAACCGTGACTTTCCTCCATCCTTACTTCATCTTCACCCCCAGTTTGCACCCCCCAACCTGGACTGCACCCCGATCAGTATGTTGAACCACAGTGGCGTTGGGGCTTTCCGCCCCTTTGCATCCACTGAAGACCGGGAGAGCTACCAGTCAGCCTTTACGCCGGCTAAGCGCCTCAAAAACTGCCATGACACTGACTCACCCCATCTGCGCTTCTCGGACACTGATGGGAAGGAGTACGAGTTTGGCACCCAGCTCCCTTCCAGCTCCCCTGGCTCCCTCAAAGTTGATGATACAGGGAAGAAGATCTTTGCTGTTTCTGGCCTCATTTCTGACCGTGAGACTTCATCCAGTCCTGAAGACCGAAGTGACAGATGTAAGTACCTCTGTTGACTTGGTAGTTCTTTAATTGTGCCTTGTTGAGATATGCGACAGGTGATTGCCCCAGAGTGCTGTGAGACTTGCTGGAGGCAGAGGCAAAGCTGCCTTTCCGTCTGCTGAGCTCAGCCATGCAATATTGCCTTGTTCTTCCAAAAGGATATTGACAGATTTTAAGGTGAGGTGCTCTTGAAGGAAACTTACCTTCTAGCACATAGCTGGAGAGGTGAAGTTGACCGTGCAGAAAGCTTTCCATGCACCAGTGTGAAGCCATAGGTGCTGGTACACGTATGTGCGTAAACAGGGATGCAGCTGGAATGTGTAGCCAGGAACTTTTCCAAAGCTTGCAGCAGGCATGTGCCCCCTGCTTCTTCAGGTGTTTCTTTCTGACCTTTTCTTCATGCACACCATTCTTAGAGCAAATGCATTATCGACCATCAGGATTCCTGCCTCAGCTTAGGACAAAAGTATCTTTTCCTCTGATTTACTTAAGAATATTGTTGGCCATTGAGCTCCCTCTTTAAGACAAACACAAATTGTCTTTACAATTGAATAAGCTGTTGCATCATGTGCTTTCTCTGTTTCCCCCATTTTGGTGCTCGTTGAAAGGTGATGTGCCCTTTTGCAGGCCAGTGATTGGACTGAAGGAACCCACTTGTTCATGACTGTAACTCCCTGTTCCCCCATTACCTTGTCCATTGTGGAGTTGCCTACACAGAGGGTCGGAGCTGTCCTTCATGAAGGGTAGGCTTCCAGGTTTGCAGAGCTGGGAGGTGACCTGCCCTGGGGAGTGGTCTGGGAGAAACAGAATATGGTACCCCAAGGAAAAGTACTAACTTATGATTAGACTTCTCCTGTAAACCCAGACATGTAGTCAAGGAGCGAGTGGTTTGCTTTTCATGTGGGCTCCTTTGTTCTGTTGAATTTTATTAATAGAAAACAGTTTTATTACTGTTGTTGTTATTATTATTACTTTTTAAAAAAACAAAAACCTGCTGCACTGTTGCTTCCTCACCCTTTCAGATGTGATTTTTCTTCTCCCCTTTATGATACCGAGGAGAGTAATAGAGACATTGTGGCTCTCTCTCCCCTGTCGGCGCTGCTTCCTCAGGCTGTCTCCTTGAATTAGGCACTGTGCTAACTTACCGGTGCTAAAAGACATCTGCCTAAACCCAGCATACCTTTTCAATAAAAGTCATCATAAAATCAACCTGCCTTTTAAATCCATCGCTCCTTGGTTTTGAAATATGCTGCAAGTGTGTCTTTTATTGTCGGCGTTTGTGAGGGTAGGACAATTCCCACTGATGGCAGGAGCCGTGTATTTCTTGCAGTACCAGTGTGATCTCTTGTGTCTCTCCCCCCTCTCCTTCTGATCCACCCCCGACCGTGCTACTTTTTTGTGCTGTAAGCTCCTTTCATTGCTCAGCATCTCCTCTCTCTCCTTTCGGGTCTGTAGGGAAAGTGGCTGTAAGTGGGAGTGCATGTGGATATGTGGAAGCTGGTAGTGTAATTACCCATGGGGGAGGCAGGTGAGATGGCAAGGCTTAGAGACATCTTTGTTGATGCTCTTTCCCTTATCGATATAACCTGGCTGGGAAAATGAAGCTTGCTCGAAAGAGTACTCTGAGAGATAGCGGCGGAGGAGAGGGTCCGCTGGCTAAATGAATTTAGAGCGCATCAGCTGCTATGGATCTTGCTGGCAAAATCCTGTCAGATACCACATTTAAAGAAGTAAATCTGTTAAATGAATTAGACCACATGGAGCACAGCTGCGGACAGACAGACGCATCCACATCCATCGCTGTGCCTTGCCTTTGCCAAGAGCGTGTGCCGGACGCGGGTCTGCTCCTTCTGGGAGCAGACGGGGCTTTGCACAGACGCAGGCAGGTTGACACCAAGTGCCAGTGCTGCTGCCAGTGCCGTGGCAGGGGACTTGTCAGGGAAAGGAAGCAGAATAAAAACTTTGTAGGCAGCTTGGAAAACTTGGGCAGAAGTGGAAGGTGTTTTGTTGTATTTTTTTTGTTACCATGTTGAATTTGTTTAAGATGCTTTTTTGCACGATAGAGCTGATCAAATGCAACATCCCTGATACTTCACCAACATTAAAATTTTTCTGTAACTACCAGGGTGATGTACACTAAATATGTCTGTTGGCTCTGTATCATATTCCTATCACGTGTAGATACTGCACCACGGAAACTTCGCTCCATTAAGACGGCGAGTTTATTTGGTGTGTGCATACCCACGTACGGGTGTGTTTGCTGGAGGCTGAGAGTGAGTTGTGGAGCTTTTAGAGGATCCTAATGGTCTTTGATGCTGACCATCAGAAAACAGAAACTTCTGAAGTGAAGAATTCAAGAAATCACAGTTTGCAGATAGAATGGTGATCCTCTTTTGCATTAGCATTTGCGATATATTTTTGAAGTTTCTGTAGGAATGTGTACTTTGGGGGTTTGTTGTCTGAGAAGTTTTATGGATTCCTTGTGTAACTTATATATAACCCTTTGTAAAAGCTGCCTATTTGTGCTCCTTATGGAGCAGGTAGGTGGCTGTAGCTTCAAGGTAAAAATGTAATTAGGCTTTTCTACAACTGCAAGGAAAAATTGTAAAGTTTTATTAGATCAGGAATGCCTTCCCATGTCTATCGGGTGCTTTTCAGGTTTGCAGAGCTTCACCGTTTTGGTGTGTTTTTCAGATTGCTGAAAGGGTTTGTGTTACACGCAAGCTGAATTACTATGATTGTCCTGTGTAGTCTTCTGTTCCACTGCACAGGAGCATTTTTTTAATAGCCCATTAAAATACTTGTTTCACCTCATAGCTTAAATGATGATTTTCTAGAGAAATTCTCCTCCCTTTTCTATTTTTTAAAAATAAAAGGTAATCACTGAGTTTTAATTTCCCTGAAAAATAGGTTTTTGCTTGGAAGACTTTGCAAGAAAACACGGATCAAAGCGAGACATTTGCATGTCAAGGAGTGTTTGGAAAGTGCTTATTTTGTCCTCTGCAGCATGGGAGGAAAGTTTCAGCCTGCTTTCACCAGTGGAAGAAATGAGCCGAATTCAGTACAATTATTTGTGATATGTTCTGGTGTATTCCAGATTAGCACCTGGCCCCATAAGAGATGTGTTCATGCAGTAGAGGTTGCTCAGCCCTTTGCATAAACCTTTCCTTACTTTTAAAGCAGGATAATGCTTGGACCCATACCCTGCATCCCACAAAGGGACAACATCTTTAGGCTGCTTTTGAGTGGGACTACTCTCTTTATTAATCAGCAAATTGAGCTGAGATGTCTGCATTTAGGTAAGTCATCTCTTGCTGTAAAATGTGAGTATTTAGGACATCCAGAGCAATGGAGTATACAGAGAACATGTGGAAAAGTGAAGCCTTTCCAGGGATAAGCAGACATACCGTGTACTGAATGAACCCATTCCCTCAGGTGCGTGCTGAGAAAAATAATGCCATTTGTTAGAGTTTAGAAGCTTCTTGTAAAGCATGTGTTAAAGGCACTGGAAGATGTATTTTATGGGTTTGCTTTAATAAGCGTACAATAATTGAGATTCCTAGAAGGAGTGGACATAAATGGCACGTTCCTTTCTGCAAGAGAGATCTATAGCCCTATTTTAAAATCGGGGAAAAAAAGATTCCCGTTTTTTACTTCTAATAAAATCTGTCTCAGTGTCCTTCAGTCATAGTACCCAGTTCATGTGGCATTGCTTTCCCACAAAGTGACAGGCAGAGGTCGGTGCCGAAGCCAGGACCTCATCACAAAGAGCTGGACCTTGTCAGAGCAGAGACCTCTGCTATCTCTGTGAGGCAGCCCATGCCCCCAGCCTCCCTGGGACCACGGAAGATGGTTTCTCACTACTGTCTGCTGCTTGGTCTCCATCACGTATTGTCTGTGACTGGTGGTGGAGCACAGACCAATGTGTGAAGGTGATCCTCTACATCCTGGCCACTGATTCAGTTTCCATCCTCTGGCCAGAGTCTGGTTCTCCAAGTCTCATATTCCCTGCTCTTGGTGGTGGCCCTTGCCCAGCTCCTGCTGTGCCCAGGGGATGAGAATTTGGGTTGGGAGCAGACTGGAATCCTTGCTCATCCCTTGTGTCTGCTGAGTGTAGACATTATTTTGATTAATATTATTTTTGATAATCATATTTCACCTTGGATATAGTTTGTTGCTGCAACTGATTTCTTTTCTGCAGGAGACATCGTGTGATGTATTTATGAGCTCTTTGTTCCACTTTGGGGTTTTAAAGATCATCTCTAGCACAGAGTTAGTTTTCCTTTTGAAACAACTGGTTTGTTATTGATCAAATGTAAATTGCACTTCAGGTGATGGACATCAGGGCTATGATGACCACAGCATGAATTCCTGAATAATGTGGTACTTTGGAAATCAGATCGAGGGCTGTCTGTGCAGTTGCCCACTCGCTCAGACGTGTTGGGATTTGTGTTTTGACCTATGTAGAGAGCTGTGTGTGTCTATGTACATGTTCTGGGGGGGAAGAAGGTTTGTTTTCTTTTTTTTGTGGCGGAACAATGGATTGGAGGGGGAATGCACATGTTTACATATCCATTGCTCACAGCTCTTCCCTCTGGGATGCACCACTTCCAAGGCTGGTAAAATCTGGGGTCTAACATGAAGTGATGCTTGGTTGCTAATCATAATCAGCCACGATCATGGAAAATGGCAAGCTTCACTCTGCTTGTGCAATAATGAAATAAATTGAGTGGAATGTTTCTTTCTGTTTTGCAGTGCCCTGCATGATGTAGGGGTGAAGAAGCAACAGTGGAATTTTGGAAGGGCTGGGTAGGCAGATGGGCAGTAGCGGGGCTGACGGCCATGCATCCATCCCTGTTGCTCCACCAAATACACACTATCCTTTGTGGAGTAAAGTGTGCTGCGTGGAGGTCTTGGAGCACGCAGCAATCACCTCCTTTTCTGGCAGCAACCTTCCCTCTCCCTCTGCAAACTGTTACCGAGAGTCCTTTCCATGC